CCCAGGGGGCGGATAAAAAAGGACTGGGAGGAGGGGGAAAGGCTGCTGAGGAGAAGAAGGTGTTGGAATCAAGCGAGAATGAGGCGAAGAGACAGCATGAGAGTAGCAGCGAGGAAAGTGATGAACAGCTCGAGGGAGGAAGATAAATAAAGGTAGAAGGGGGGGACAGGGATGGGGGTTGACGGGAAGAAAGAAGTAAAGAGGATGAGAGGCAAGGAGGAAGGACGAGAGGAAGGAGGGGAGAAAGGGGTGGAAAATGATGAGGAAATGTTAAGCGGAAAAGATGATGAACAGCTGGATGAAGTGTTAATGTAGGAGGGAGGAGCGAGGTGGAGCGATATTATGGATGAGGAAGAAAAGGAAGAGAGAAAAAGAGAGGAGGAGCTATTGGAAAAAAAAGAGGGAAAAAATGTTAGAGGAGGAAGGGTGGAGCGATATTATGGATGAGGAAGAAAAGGAAGAGATAAAAAGAGAGGAGGAGCTATTGGAAAAAAAAGAGGGAAAAAATGTTAGAGGAGGAAGAGGAGGAGAGTGGGGGGGATGAAAATCCGAGCGAAGATTGGGATAGTGAGGACAGTGAAATAGAGACTAGTGAGGGCGACGAGGAGGAGGAGGAGCAGAAAAGGAAGGAAAAGGACAAAAGGTTTGAGAGGATAGTGAAGAAAAAGGTGAGAGAGGGAGTAGACATGGCGAGCATAAGAGCGAGGAGGGAGGAGCTGAAGTGATGGAAACGTGTTAATGTGGAAGTAGGGAGATTATTACTGAACGGCAAATGGGCGATGGGAAGGGAGAAACCTTATAACCTCAATATAAGGCAAAGGCCGTTTGGGGAGAAACAAGGGGAAATGATAGAGATGTGGGAGGAAGAGTGCGAAAAGAGTAAAGCAAGGGCTATCCTTGAGAAGCGGAAGGAGGTGGAAGAAAGATATGCGGGTAATGACTAAGAATCCTTGTAATGTAATGCAATGTAATGTGTGGTGATAACATACTGAAAGGAATGCTTACATGGGGAATGTAGAAGAATGACGGTGGAGAATGTAGGATGTTAATACAGTGGACTTAAAATGAAATGAAAAGTATGATTTATAATGTGAAAAATTTAGTTGATATGCATATAGATTGGTTTTAAACATTAGGGTCCTTCCTTTTTTGGGGAATGGTTATGTTATGTGTTGTAAATGTCAAATTTATTTTTGATACTAATAAAAAAATTTAAAAAAAAAAAAATCACGTCCGATCTCGGAAGCTAAGCAGGGTCGAGCCGGGTCAGTACTTGGATGGGAGACCGCCTGGGAATACCCGGTGCTGTAAGCTTTTTTTAAATACAGGTACATCCATGGTGATAAGATAAGATTTATACCCTAAAATAGCATGCTAAGCGTGGGTGTATTAGTTTCAAAGCATGCACACTCTGCTCATGTCAGGCTTCCATGAAATAGACCGGGAAAAGCACCTCTCTGTGGCTGCTCACAGACCCCCGAAGCAGCTCCAGCTCGGCTTCCTAACACGGGCAAACAGGTTTTTTCACACCTCCAGGAGAGGGACCGGGAAAAGCACCTCTCTTTGGCACCTCACAGAGCCCCAAAGGACGGCCTAATAGGTCTTGGCGGGCCATCAGCCCTCTGGGGGCCCACTTCTGAGGCAGACGCAGGACATCTTCGGGAGGACGCTCAACTCTGGGGGGGGGGAGGAGTCAGACACTTCGCCAGGGGGGTCGTGGTCGGAGGGGCCATCGACCTGTGGGTCCCGGACTTCTGACAGGTACGCCAGGTACGTGCTTCGGAGGGCTCACTCTGGGAGAGTCAGACACTACGCCAGGGGGTCTTTCGGAGGCGTTCGTCTGGGGGGGGCACCTTCCTGACAGACCTGCAGGGGTCTTCGGAGGCCATCACTTCTGGGTCCACTTTCTGAACAGTACGCAGGTAGTCTTCGGAGACGCTCACTGCTGGCGGCAGAGTTCAGGACCCTAGCGCAAGGGGTCTTCGGAGCCTTCGTTCTGGGGCCACTTCTGACAGTAGCGTCAGGGGGTGCTGTCGGAGAAGGCCATCGGAACCTCTGGGTCCACTTTCTGACAGTCACCGAGGTATCTTTCGGAGGACGCTCACTCTTGGGGAGAGTTCAGACACTCACCGCCACGGGGGTCTTCGGACGGCCATAGCTGGGTCCACTTCGTGCCAGTACCGCCAGGTATCTTTCGGGAGACGCTCACTCTGGGGAGAGTGCAGACACTTAACGCCGAGGGGGTCTATCGGAGCCCTTCGGTTTCTGGGCGCCGGCGCCACTGTCTGAGCAGTACGTCAGGGGGGTCTTTCGGAAGGCCATTCACTCTGGGTCCATGTCTGACAGGTCCGGCCAAGGTATCTCGTGGGGAGACGCTCACTCTGGGGAGAGGTTCCAGACACTACGCCAGGGGTCTTCGGAGGCCATTACTTCTGGTCCAACTTCTGACAGTACGCCAGGTATCTTCGGAAGACGGCTCACCTCTGGGGGAGAGTCAGGACCTGACGCCTAGGGTCTCTTCGGAGGACTTCGGTTCTTGGTGGGCCACTTCTGCCAGTACGCAGGCATCTTCGGAGGCCATTCACTCGTGGGGATCATTAGCGGGGTCTTCTGGGGCACCGCGACAGAAGGTTTTCGGACTTCTTCGATTAGGACCGATCCTGAACCGGGAGAGGGGCTTTAGTAACCCCAGGGTGCCTTCCTACCCCCCTTTATGGTTACGCACTTTAGTGCGAACGGATTTCGTACCTCTTGCGGGGCCTATGGTAAGTCGGTGTATTCCTCCAGTAACACTCCCCGCAGAGCGTGGCTGTCATTTTGCCGCTTTGCTTAACATACAGGTTGACAGTCGGCTTTTCCTTGAAGGATAGTAAGTACCGGTACGGCACAACTGGCGACCATCGTTGAGCCGGAGAAAGGGATTTTTTCTGTGTTTCGTGCCCGAAGGGAGCCGACCTCGGGCTCATATAAGTTTCAGCGCGGCCCCGTTCAGTTGTAGCGACAACCAAGGACTTCCTGACCTTGGTAAAAGGACTCATGAACGACGTAGTTTCGAGGCCCCCACGTCCGAGTGGGTCAGCTATACTGGGTTTAGTAGTTCTCTCCACTTTTGGTTGTACTTGCTAAACTTTTTTCGAGACAGTGAGCAGGTGGTCGAAATTCAACTTCTCTTGTTCGACCTAGGCAGGCGACGCTCGGTCCCCGCCTCGAGAGCCGAGCGGTACCGCTCTAAAAGAGCGGCGGTACCGCCGGGGCGAGACTCTTACGCGTTAGGGACTAGGAGGAAACCATGGACTTTACCCAGATCATCAGGCTGGAGTTAGGACTCAATCGGCAGACGCCTCTACGGCAATTAGGACCGAGCTGAGAGGTGCCACGGCGCTCCACATACCTTCACCCGGGTGCACAACGTCCTCAAGAGTCAGGCAGAAAACCCCGAGACACTCCCCGATGTGTCTCTCTACCAAAGGGCCGGGAGAGGACCTCCATACTTTATTTGGACTCGAGGTACACTCCCTCTGCT